ATGCCAAGTGAGCACGCCTGCTGCCTGCCGGGCACTGGGGTAGCGCGCCTGGCGCCCCAGCCCAGCCCAGTCACCCAAGATCCTAACTAGCACTCCAGCTGAAGCTCAGAGCAGTGGCCAGGCGGCTGAGTGGAAGGGCTCTGGTGGAGGTCGGTAGGCCTCTAGAACTGGGAGCTTCCTCTCTGAGGGGTGAGTGGATGGGCAAGGGCAGGGCTAGGCTCTGCCTGGTGGGTGTGACCACTGGAGGCTGTCCATTCCAGCCTGGGCGTGGACACAAGTTTGGGGAAATGTGCCCCGCCTGGCAGCCTCAGTCTTCAGGGAAAGAAGAGCAGCCAATCGGGGCCCTGCCCGTACCTGCAGCAGAGTGGGAGGCCAGGCGCTGTGGCGAAGGTGCCTGACGATGGAGATGTGGCGTCCCAGACTCCGGTGCACACTGCAACACTCGTCACACACCAGCACCCCTCTGCTGATGGAGGCCCAGCCAGGGTCTGCAGGGTGGGGGTGGGGGTGAGGAGTGGGATGGGGGTCAGCTACTGCCAGGTGACAGGGAGGTGTCAGGCTTCTGCGCACCTGTCCTGGGCTTGCGCTATGTTGAGCATTTCAAGTCCACCCATCACTCTTATTTGGTCAGCCAAAGCCCACCACCTCGTGCCTCCCGGTTCCCCACTGCTACCAAGCTGACTCGGCAGCCGGGCAGCCCCAGGGGCTCAGAGCAGAACCCCGCTGCACTAGCAGATCTCCCTTTCTCTCCGCACCTTGTTGCTATTGTCGGGAACATTCACAGCAAAACGTACACCGATCCAAAAGTCCTTACGTGCACAAGCCAGGTGATGCCGAGCACATTCTTTGAGTTGAGCGACCCTCTGAACCCTCCTTCCCGAGCTGCTCACCCCCCACGAGCGAGCACACACCGCACGCTTGCTGCTCCCTAAGGTCCCTATCGAGTCTTTCCTGTGGCTGGTGTCACCATGATCCCAAGCGGATCTTCTTAAAAGAGCACACTGCTCAAGG